ATGGTCCACGCTGTGCGTGAGGGGGCGTATTAGAATCCCACATTATTTGGGAAAATATAAATAATCCACTTAATAAGGTGAGGGCAATCCTCCCCTAATAAGCCGGTTTTATTAGGTCGAGTTAGGCCCAATATTCCTAACAGTAAAAATATGAGCAACTTGCTCTTGTGTAGGAACATAAGTCATGCAAATGATTCCTTCCTCAACCTTTTTTTTTATGAAATGCCTATCAACCTCTATATGCTTGGTACGATCATGTTGGACTGGATTAAGAGAGATGCTGATTGCTGCCTTGTTATCACAGTAAATCTTAATGGGAAACTCTATTTTAATATGTAATTCTTCCAAAAGCTTTCTCAACCACAGCCCTTCACATATTCCTTGTGCTACTACTTTGAACTCTGCCTCAGCGCTACTTCTGGCAACCACATTTTGTTTTTTACTTCTCCAAGTTACAAGATTTCCCCATACATGGGTACAATAACCAGTAGTTGATCTTCTGTCTTCTATTGAACCCGCCTAATCTGCATCTGTGAAGACTTCAGTCTCCTTCCTTTCACCCCTTTTAAAAAACAGTCCCTTTCCTGGGGATCCCTTGAGGTATTGTAGTATCTTGTAGACTGCTTCTAGGTGACTTTCCTATGGTGAGTGCATATGTTGACTCACGCGGCTAACTGTGAATGCAATATGTGGTCTGGTGTGTGACAAGTATATTAACTTTCCAACCAACCTTTGGTATCCATCTATCTCTACCTCTTTTCCATCATCTTCAGGTCTTTTCCCTGCTTCGACGGGTGTATCACTCGGCTTACAACCTAGCATCCCAGTTTTGGTTAAGATGTCAATAACATACTTTCGTTGTGAAACACTAATTCCATTTTTTGATCTTGCCACCTCCATTCCTAAGAAGTATCGCATTTGTCCCAGATCCTTCACCTCGAATTCAGTGGAGAGGCATTTCTTTAGTCTTTCAGTTTCTGCCACACTGTCTCCTGTCAGAATGATATCATCAACGCAAACAATTAAGATTGTCTTAGTCCCATCATTAAAATGTTGGTGAAACATAGTATGATTTGACTGTTCTTGTCGATATCCTTGACTATTTAGCACTTTTGCGAATCTATCAAACTATGCTCTCGGTGACTGTTTGAGTCCATATAGAGACTTCTTGAGTTTGCACACTTTGTTTTCTTTATCACCTCTGCTGAACCCTGTTGGTAAAGTCATGAAAACTTGTTCTTCTAACTCCATTCAAAAAAGCATTTTTAATGTCGAGTTGTTGTAACGGCCAATCTAGATTGGCTGCTAAGGACAGAAGGACCCGAACTGTATTCAATTTTGCTACTGGTGTAAACGTTTTTGTGTAGTCGATGCTATATGTTTGGGTGTATCCTTTTGCAACCAACCGAGCTTTGTACCTTTCAATTGTCCCATCTGCTTTGTATTTTAGATTGAAGACCCATTTGCACCTAATCGATTTCTTTCCTTTCGGTAGATCCGATACCTCCCAGGTCTCATTCTTCTCTAGCGCCCTCATTTCCTCCAATACAGCTTCCTTCCATTTAGGGGTTTCTAGGGCCTTTTCAACATTTCTCGGGATCTTTGTGCTATCAAGGTGAGATGTAAAAGCATTAAATCCAGTAGATAGAGTATTATAAGACATGAATTTAAAAATAGGATGGAGAGTACATGACCGAGTAGGTTTTCTG